ATATAGCACCTATATACAGGACTCAATCAGAAAATCCAATTCTCCCCCCTCCCCCCATATTAAGGAATACAATCTGAAATGTATATCAGATAAATTTAACTAATTTCTAGAGGAACTTTAAAAGAGGATATTTGTAAAAAGTTACCAATATTATGTATTAAATGAGTTGCACCAACAAGTTCTCATGTAGTAGATGTGTTCATAGTATATGAACATGCAGTATATTTTTAATAACTTGGAGAATGACTTGCTTTAAACAAGTCTCAGGACTTCACATGCATATTTCCTTTTGCAATGTCCAGCTATTCTCCATAAATAATCTTTGCAAAAGACAAATTTCTTGGAGAAGAATTTCTGCACTTCCAACCTACATAAACAAAAATAGAACTTTTACATAGATTTAAAGGTATGTTCTAGCTCAATTAGAGGTAATGGGCTTGATGCAGGAATTAATGGGTGATCTTCAGTAGTATGTTTTATGTAGGCAGGCAAACTAGATGATCGTAATGGTCTTTTCAGGCCTTAAAATCTATGAATGCCAGAGAGTATAGTAGTACTAATAACTTAGCAACATAAAAACAGGTGATCCTCACAACACCCCTCTAAATACTATAAGGGGTAAGTAACCATTATAGTCAGAGTAGGTCAAACTATTCATTGCAAACTTTTTATTCAGTGAGTTTAGTCCTTTTTTTTTCTGTTCACCAATTTTCTGTCAACAGGTCCCAATTTTTACTAATTTATTTGCCTGTTCAGAATTGTTTGGCTAGTTGATAAGACTATATTAGAGCTACTGATGGTTTGCATAGTATTTGTACTGAGTATTGTGTTCATTATTTGATATTTGGAATTTTTCTTGACTGGTCATCTAAGTCAGCTAGTATTGTTTTTGTTCCCTGAAAGGATGGTCTTGGCTTTATAAACTACTTCCACTCAAAATATATTTCATTTTGTTGGGAAACTTAATTTGTTTCTTAGTTAAACAAATCTTGGCTATGGGCCAGATACCCATTTTCCACCAACATTCATGCAGTCATAATTTTGCATAATTTTGCATGTTCAAATGTATTCAAGAAAGCAAACAAAAATAGGACGCTAACATATTTAAATCAAAATTTTGATTCAGAATTCACAAAAAATGCTTTTTTTCCACATTTTGCCTCGTTCTTATCATCCTCATTTTACAAACCTAGAAAATGAAGGTCAGAGAAGTTAGACTTTTTTTACATTTGAGTGATGTTTAAGGAATAGCTAGCATGGATTTGTCAAGAACAAATCATGCCAAACCAACCAAATTTCCTTCTATGACAGGGTAGCTGGCCTAGTGGATGGGGGGAAGCAGTAAATGTGATATATCTTGATTTTAGTAAGGCTTTTGACACAGTCCCACTTGACATTCTCATAAGCAAACAGCTACAAACTACTACAAGATGAAACTACTATAAGGTGGGTGTACAACTGGTTGAAAGACACATCCATGTATTCCATGTAAGTGTTTGCTTGGCCAGCACGCTGAAGTTGGAGAACTTTGTCTAGCAGTACCCGTAATATTCATCACCAAGTTATATATCTACCAGTGTTCATCACTAAGCCACATTCAACCCCAGATGAGCAGCATCTTCACACGTTGTATACCAGGCTGTCTGCTTACCTGAATAAGACTAAATCTTTCCATTCTTCATCTCGTCTGTTTCATATGCGGACTGAGTTAAGGGGCAAGAGATCTCTTCGCAGATGATCTCCCAGTGAATAACTTCAGGGAACATGACAGCATATGAAGTAGTTCAGACTGCTCCTCCTCAAAGGGTACGAGCTCATTCCACAAGGGCCCTGGCAACGTTGATGGCATTTCTAATTGACATTCCTATATTGGATATTTGCAGGGCTGTCACTTGATCCTCTGTACATACATTTACAGACCACTATGCCATTACTACTGCATCCAGATCAGATGCAAACTTTGGGAAGGCAATCCTTCAGTCTTTGTTCAAATAGATTCTGAGCTAAGTTCCCTCTAAGGTGCATAGTCATGCAGCTGCCTATTAAGCACTGCACAGGCACTCAGGGCTGTGGTGGGGAGACATCTCTCCCCGCCAGCCCAGCCCCGGACCTCCTGCGGCCAGGGGAGAGGTGCCTATCCTACAGTCCCAACCCAGCCCCAGACCTGCCACCCCTATGGGTACTGCTAGGCTAAGCTATCTGGTTTCAGTACACTGGGTGTGCACACACCTACATGAAAAACACATCTGCATCACATCTTGAAGAACAACCGTTACAATACAGATAAGTAACCATTTTTTATCAATGGTTCTCTGTCAAACTGGGAGGACATATCTAGTGGGATCCCACAGGGGTCAGTCCTGGGTCCAGTACTAGTCAATATTTTCATTAATGACCTATGAGGAAAAATTAATAAAATCTGGCATGTTTAGTTCTGAGAAAGAAAGAATGAGAGGGGACCTGATAGTCTCAAATATGTTAAGGGCTGTTATAAAGAGGATGGTGATCAGTTGTTCTCCATGTCCACTGAAGGCAGGACAAGAAGCAATTGGCTTAATCTGGAGTAAGGGAGATTTAGGTTAGATATTAGGAAAAACTTTCTCACTACCAGGGTAGTTAAGATCTGGAATAGGCTTCGAACGGAGGTTGTGGAATCCCCACCATCCGGTTTTTAAGAATAAGTTGGACACAATACCTGTATACTTAGTTCTGTCACAGCACAAGGGGCTGGACTTGATAACTTCTCAAGGTCACTTTCAGCCCTATATTTCAATGATTCTATGATACAGGTAATGAAATACGTGGCCTGACGTTCAAAGGTGCTAGACACCCACAGCTCTCACTGAAAATCAGGACTCTCTTATTTTGGTTCCTAAATATGGAGGCATTTGAAAACTTTGCCCTAAATGACTTGCCTGAGTCCAGGTGGGTGAGGTAATATCTTCTGCTGGTGAGAGAGGCAAGCTTCCTTCTGCAGAGCTCTGTGTAAGCTCGAAAGATTGTCTCTCTCACTAGCAGAAGTTGGTCCAATAAAAGATATTAACTCACCCACCTTGTCTCTCTAATATCCTGGGACCAACATGGCTACAACAACATTGCCCGAGGCCACACAGTTCCTGACTTCCAGTGCCGTATGCAGTCCACTAAGTCAGGCCTTGCTAGCTCCAAGTAATCACTGGTTCATGAGAAGTTTAGGTGTGCCCACATGAATGTGATTTTTCCCAGACTTTATCTGCCCCCTTGTAACTAGCGGTATGTGTACTGACATTTACCAGTGTCCTGGTTTGTAAAGCACTTTCTTGTAAATGTCATGAAAAGCCAAATAAAACAATTGTTTAAGAAACCTGGAATTAATCCTCTGGCAAAGCTTGGGCTATGGTGAATGACTGACAATGCCCATATTGCACCACAAACTGAAAAAGGAAAAGATGTAGCAAAATGACACTGAAAAGTACCTTTTGCATTTTACATATGTTTACCCTAGAATAGCAATAAAAAACCAAGTCCTGGAAATTTCTTCAAATAATAACCGGCTGGGATTAGTGGCTTGAGTTTGTCAACTCTTTTCAGTCAATTGTTGATACCCAGGAATTCTCTGGACAAATATCCTATCTGTTCGCAAGAATGGAGCAGGTAGGCTCATTAGAGGAAAATCCCTATAATGCACACAGATGTCATAGATCCAAAACGCAGCGAATATCACATTTTTGGATCACTATCAATAGCAGCATATCTGGCATATGTCAGCCCATAATTTAAATGTATTAATTACTTGTATTTGTTAGAGTCTGCTAAAGTCTTAAGGGGAAAGTGTAAAGTCACCCCAGAGAGGAATCATTGTGTTCCTCTTGTAATGAATGTGTCATTTTGGTTAGAGTAGCTTTAAGTGATGTTTGTGGCTCTCATAAACATAGTGAACACTGTACTGTAACTCCGAGTGTTCTAAGAGTGGGCAGAAGTTGAGTCTTTATGAAGTCTGTAACAGAGATGTTCTCTGTGGTGTATCCGATATTCATTGTAACCTGCATATGATGTTCGGCTCTCTGGTTACCTCTAAGTGTGACTGTTATAAACTGTTGAACCTCAAACCATTGTTACAAGAGCCTGAGAATAAAAAGAGGGGCTCTCTCTTATACGTCATCTTGCTTCTTGAGTGATATTCCAGAAAATCAGCTTGAGACAAACAAGGGAAAAGACTAACTGTCCTCATGTCAAAATTCTATTAAACTAAATTTGGATGAAACTCTGTAGGCTTTGGGGTTTTATGGGCAGATAATGGTATCTATTTCAAACTCTTCGAAAGTTTGGCCTGCTTATCTAATAGCCTTATTTGTCAACCCATGAATTGCAAAGTGGAGGCATTTTAAATTATTGGTGTTCTGACTTCGTTGGCTGAAAACAGATCTTTAGTTAACAAAGTGTGCTGGGATTTATAAAATGAAATGATGATGAAGATATATTCAGTGTGTGCAGGATCCAACATTTTTTCTTTTGGAACACTTTTTTACCAAAGCCAGAGTTTGGAAAAGTTTACCAGTCTCCCAAAGAACTTCTGGACCAGGCAGACTAGAAGATAACAGCTAGGATTTCATGTTTTTAGATGGTATAAGCCATTTGTTTCTAGGTGCATTAGTTCTCAAGTTAGCAGCATGTTCAAGTGAAATAGGGATGGGAAAAGCAAAATGGTAATCGTAGTTACATGCTTTTCCTCCCGTGGTAAGTAAAGCTTTTACGATATATATGTTATGATATACATGTTCTGGTGATTCATAAGATATCGACCACAGAAATTTCACCCTTAGTCTAAGGAGTATGTTTTTGGCACTGGTCTAGCACGGAGTATAGAAAATCCTGGAACCAGTGTAATTTTCAGTCCCTGAATCTTCAGTGATCCGAGATTCTGCATTTTTAACTATACTGAATCCAGCTGATATTAGTAAAGAGAGTAACTAGCTTGTATGTAGATATGTTTGTTTTAATTCTCCTTGCTTGTGTTTCAGGCTAAGCTATGTGAATCATGCAGAGGATCTGGCCTCCAAACTACTTCAGTGTTTCCCAAAGAACAGATTGTCAGCACAGGCAGCCCTGAGCCACGAATATTTCAGTGATCTGCCCCCACGGCTATGGGAGCTAACTGATAGTGAGTATGACAAAACCTCTGAGCTGAATAAAAGCAAGGAAATCAGTATATAGATATATATATTTGAGCGAAATTCTGTAGTTCAAATTGCATAGTTTGCTTGACACAGGAAAAAATGGATTCTCCTTTGCTATCTCTACTCTGCAGTCTGCAGCTAGCTATCTTTGTATTTGATTATGTGTGCAGCCAAGAGAATTATCTGAATTGTCATAAAGCAGAAGGAAAAAAATACAATTTACATATTTAGTGCTTTTCACATCATAACATACAGTATTTTTTAACTAGCTGCAGCACACAGGATAAAAATCCAGCAATGTTTGATTCTCAGACACTGTATCTGTTCTAACAATAATGCTTTAAAAAGACTTGGCATTCAGAAGACTGAGGAACACAAAGTAGACAATTGGTTAATTTGCTGAATTGAAATGTATGAGAAGAAAACTTCATTTTATTAGCTGAGAATGCTTTCAGTATTCACACACAGTTCTTTTGTTTCTCCTATTAAACAAAACGCATTCCAGTTGTCTTGGCAAAAATGTTCCATCCAGCACAAATGCTGTCAATTGCTTTTTAAATATTTGTGAAGTACTTATACCACAGATTTCCTTATCTTTTTCCAGAATAATAAATGTTACCACTATGAATTCTGGCAAACCCATGCTTACAATACATAAGGGTATTTTTGATCCAGAGACTGTTTTGTTACCATAAATAGGTTTCACATGGGAATCTTATTTGTGATTTTTATTTAAATCAATTCTTGCACTCTAACCATAGAAATTGTTTTCAGTTTTCAAACACAAGTATCTTAATAGGAGATCCAAATCCAATATCCAGAGACTTAAATCATCATGTGGTCATGTAACAATGGCATTTATGTGCCTACGCAAGGTGATTTGAGCAATAAAATATGAGATTTGGACATTAATGTTTGAAAAACTGGGCTCAGGATGCAAATATTAGTCAACAGTAGATTTTTTTTGTTTACTTCACTTTTAGTAAGTCAACTTTCCCTCTTCCAAATTTTTAGCTGTTCTGTCTCTAACAGATAACTGCACTGGATCTCGTATTGAGGCAGCTCTGTAAACTGGTCAAGGTACCCTGCTCCCTAGGGGTACCTGCTTTTGGGACTAACCCCCATTTTGGAGAATCGGAGATAAAAATCCTTGTCACTAATTATAGGTTATATTCTCCAATTCACCTGAAGTGCTGATAGATGTTCAGTTCCCCTGTTAATACTAGATCCAGGACTCTCACCCTCCTACCCAGACACCAGCCCTCTTTCCAATGCACCCATTCTTAAGCTAATGAGGCTGTAAGGAAGTCTGTCTTTGCTGAAAGTATGATGCAAAGAGATTCATTAGTTCATGGCTAATCAAACATCAAACATGCCAGTTTAATTATCCCTTTCCCACTAAATGGAAAACAAAAATCAATCTGCATTGGTGACATCTCAATCCTGTCTGACTGTACAATTTAGTCTAGCCAGGATTTTGATAGTCTATGAATTCTGAATTCTCTAGTAGTACTTTTCTGTTAATATGGACTTATTACCCACTTGCCACTTAGTTTATCAGTCAGTGGTTAAATCCAGTTCTATCAGTGAAGTAAATGCCTCCACATTATCACTCTGCAGCAGGCTGCCAACAGAGACAGTCTTGTCCTAGTCATTAACAAGCACAATGTATGCAGAACACCAGAGGGGAATTAAAACCACAAAAAATACCTCAGGGTGGTATTTTTAATATGAGAATTTAATTTGTAATTTCACAGATTAAGAATTTTGGCTGCATTAATCCTTTTATCAGCTCACAGCAGGTTATTTGCAGAAGCATAACCATAAGGCGATATTCATTGGCAGAAACACGTCTTTGCATAACGTTAAACATCAGGAGCAGTGAAACCTTTTGAAGGGGGGAGAATAAAGATGAAAAATCATTATATTTTAAAGCAAGGTTCTGTTAAATGCCTCCAGTAAAATTTTTGAGTTACAGATATACTCTTTCTGTGTCTAGTAGATAATCATTATGAAGCATAAATCCAGATGCAAGAAAGGACAATCCGAGTATCAAATACTACAATCATTTCTATTTAATACAACTTGGATATACTTGTAAACATATTTACAAAACAAAGAAGTCATATACTTTGGAGACTTTGGAAAATGTTTACTTTGTAGTGAAATGACTAGTTTTGGTGACCTCATTTGTCTGAGTTAATACTTTATCCAGGTGTCTGGACAGATTTCCTATTTATACTTTATTTTAGTTTAAATTTTTGGATAAATGCAACAGTATTTAGCACACAATACAGTCAACAGCCTTGCAATCAAAACACCACAAGGCCATTTTCGGAGTCCATGTTACAGATCGTCCTCTTCATGGAACATACATTATACTGCAAAGTCCACATGCAAAATTGAAATCTTTAAACTAAAAAGTCTGTGGAGAATTACAATTGTGTGAGAGGGGAAAGGAATCCCTACCATTAGAAGGAATTTTGACGGAAACACTTTTCCATCAGAAATTGGAGTTTCATCTGAATCAAAACATTATGTGGAAAAGTGTAGATTTCAATGAACTTTTTATAGAATAAGTGTCAACAAATCATATCAACATTTTAACTTTTATGATATAATTTTAACATAGAATTTATACTTTATTGTAATGTTTTGCTATAACTGAAACAAACCATTTTGACGTTTTTGAAATGAAATGATTCAACATTATTTCATTGAAATATTATGATGTTTTGAAATGTGAACTTTTTGGAATTGACATTCCATGAGAAATGTTGAAATTTTGACTTTTTGTTGTGATTCAGAATGAAAAAAGTTTTGAATGGGATGGGATGGGAATTCCATTTTCCAACTAACTCTACCTAACCTACACTGCAATCTTCACTTTCAGTGTATAAAATTTCAAAAAAGACATAGGAATAGTGAATTTTATAATGCTGTTACAAAATTCATCCAAAAAGGGAACAATTCAGCTCACTAGAAGTGTAAAGAACAAATGAACTTGAACAATGATGCTTTGAGACCAACCTAATCATTCCACGCTGGGTTACTCTGGAAATGCAGTACAATACCTGAGATATCGCAGTCTTCCAAGAACCCCAGACTTGAGCTGTAATATAGAAACTAAATACTTGTACTAACTATGCCAGATTTCATTTTCCATAAAGTAATTTCCCTCACTCTTTCCTACTTAAATAAGCTCATAAGCATTTCCATGCATAAATATGTGCAAGTAATTTATAACACACCTTCTGATTTTAAAAAAGACCACAGAAACACCCAAAATAAATTTTAGTTGTATTGAGTACAATACAACAGAGATAATAATTACAAGACTATGTATTATAATAGTGAAATACAATCTCCATAAAATAAATACAGTACCTGAATCTTTTAAATGTACAAAAATAATGTGGTGACCCTAACACCTATTAGCTGCACTAGTATCCATTGGACAAAAAAAAGATGAAGGTTTTTAGTGACTATAAAGACTCACAATTTCATTTAATTTTATACAACCAATTGTAATATAACCTCTACATGTGCACCTGTAATTTTGTTCTCTCAATCTCACAGGGGCACATAATAGATTTTTTTTTATGCCTAATACACAGGTGCTAATGCTTGCAAAAAAGAAAGAATCCAGTCTGAGGGATTCTAATTGGAACTAGGTTTCTTGATCATCATTGTGAACCCTTCTCCATTTGTATTTTGACATTCATCATTAATATTATCATGGCCATTAATAATTAGTTCCATACAGAAACTTTCCTGCCATCACCTTGCAATCTTGATACAGATTTTTCCAGTGGCTCAGCTACAGATCTGATAGAGTGGACCTGCATTATGTAGAGATATTTGGTTTGCTTTTAAATATTCACTAGATATTTTTAAACCACTTTAATGGTCTCTAACACTGTGGTTCTGTTCTGTTCTTTTGCAATGGAGGGAAGGCAAATGCAGAGGCTCAGTTCCACAGGCAGCAGAGTTTTGAAGCTGGAAGACATGAAGTCAAATTATTGAATGTCCTGTCTTATTTTTAGAAATTCTGGTACATCTCTAAAGGTTACACAGGAGAAACTTCAAAAGTAATAGGAAAAAATGAATCACAGATGGGAGCAGAGTGAGCAAAAACAAAAAACCCCAAAAAATCTGAAAACACAACTCTTTACAAGATGTCTGACAACGTTGTATGCTCACATAACAACCTCCCCCATAAACAATCCTACTTCCTTCACACTGAAGATTTTTTAAAATAATTTAGAAGTAGCACAAAGCTTATTCCTTATTTCAATGTCTGCCACAGCATTTAGCTGAATCTTTTTAAAGCAATACGTTTATCATAAAACAAAATAATTAAGATTCTGAATTGTCACTTTTTCCACAGTGTCTTCTATTTTTACGGTACCGAATGTAAGATTACAACTAGAGGTTGGAGAAAGCATGAGAGTCTTTGGGAAATACAATAGTTATGGCAAAGGTCTATCAAACAGCAAGCACTGAGGAGAATACTTAGACTCACTACGGAGAATGACGGTAAGAATGCTTATCAGAAAGAATTTCTTTGAATACAGCACTGGATTAAAATGTGCTTTAGAGGTGCAAAAAAAAAAAAGAACAACATAAAAAAAAAAAAAAAAATTAAGTGCATGTGTGTAAATCTGAGCTTGGATTTTGCATGAGAGGGGCCTGGTCTACACTAGTGGGGGAGGGATCAACCAAGGATACGCAACTTCAGCTACGAGAATAGCATAGCTGAAGTTGACGTATCTTAGTTCGACTTACCTCGCGTCCTCATGGCACGGGGTCGATTGCTGCGGCTCCCCCATCGACTTTGCTTCCACCTCTCACCGAGCTGGAGTTCAGCAGTCGACGGAAGAGCGATCAGGGATCGATTTATCGCGTCTACACTATATGCGATAAATCGATCCCCGATAGATCGATCGCTACCCGTCGATCCGGTGGGTAGTGTAGATGTACCCTAAGATAGTTGTTAGTCCCAGGCACAGTGAAGAGGTAGGCTGAAATATTGTGACTGACATGTTGGGAATGTTGCAGAAGCCAATAGGAAACTCCTTGCTGATATAGCCGACAGCGGTCATTACAAGCTGGTACCTAGAGGGAGTAACTGACTTCTGGTGAGGTATTGATGAAAGTAGGCATTTCACGTCGCTTTTGCTATTAGATATGGGTTGAGAGACTAGTGATGAGTTCAATAAGACTAAGAGTCCTATCCAGAGTTTACCACCATGGCAAATGGAGGGCCAATGCCCTTGATGGAGGGAATGATCTTGGCTGGCTCCTATAAATAAATCTCCTTTTCTACCATTATCCCTTTGGTCTTGCGTGGATTCAGTTTGAGCCCGCAGTTCTTCAATCATAAGATCTAAAACATATTTCAGTGTTGAAATGCTGCTTGTTATGGCATCAGACTTTCTAACAGCATTGTGGAGATCTGTATGTTTCTGGGCTGTAGGGGATGTCTGCCATGTTGTCACAGTAGGTTAAAATAGGTGGATGCCTGTTATATATTTTGTATGGACCTACTAATTACTTTTTGTCTGTTTGCATTATTACTACATTATAGGCTTAGCAGGGCTTTCCTCCCTTTGACACACACTCTTTTAGACCACCAACATCCCCTTTTCCACTCGCACGTCCTAGGATGTCTTTTGTGCCTGTAATATCTAAATGCAGTTAGACATCTTTTTTTCATAGCGACATCTGGGATGTACCCTGTTTCCCCGAAAATAAGACAGTGTCTTATATTAATTTTTGCTCCCAAAGATGCGCTAGGTCTTATTTTCAGGGGAGGTCTTATTTTTCCTGGAGCTTCGGGGCCTTATATTATGGGGTGGCCTTATTATCGGGGAGGTCTTATTTTGGGGGGGGATGCCTTATATTACAGCGAGAGGCAAAACTGGAAGTAGGTCTTATTTTCGGGGGATGTCTTACTTTCGGGGAAACAGGGTATCAGCAGGAGTGTTGTAAGCAAGACATGAGAAGTAGTTCTTCCACTCTACTCCACACTGATAAGGCCTCAGCTGGAGTAGTATGTCCAGTTCTGGGTGCCACATTTCAGGAAAGATATGAACATATAGGAGAAAGTCAGGAGGAGAGAAACAAAAATTATTAAAGGTCTAGAAAACATCAACTGTGAGGATGTAGAAAACATCAACTGTGAGGAAAAACTGGGTTTGTTTAGTCTGGAGAAGAGAAGACTAAGAGACATATAACAGTTTCCAAGTACATAAAAGATTGTTACAAGGAGGAGGGTGAAAAATTGTTCCCCTTAACCTCTGAGGATAGGGCAAGAAGCAATGGGGATTAAACTGCAGCAAGGGGAGGTTTAGGTGGACATTAGGAAAAACTTTCTAACTGACAGGGTGGCTAAGCACTAGAACAAATTGCCTAGGGAGATTGTGGAATCTCCATCTCTGGGGGTTTTTAAGAACAGGTTACACAAACACCTGTCAGGGATGGTCTAGTTATTACTTAGTCCTGTCTTGAGTGCAGGGGCCTGGACTAGATGAACTATTGAAGTCCCTTCTAGTCCTACAGTTCTTTGATTCTATTATCAACACAATTTAGGCAACAATTACATTTATTTTCTTACTAATTTATGGAGCACCCAAAGCATATCTCATATTAGCCTTATGTCACTTCAAAATTTAGTCCATTGTTTAAAAGAATTGTCTTTTGAAAGAGGCATTACTCTTGCACTTTTCTGTTTGCAGGTTAAAATATATTTTACTGTTTAATATTGTTGACATCAATAAATTAGCAGGGAGCTACTGGGAAGTGAGGTAAACTGTAACGTTACTGTATCGCCCACTATAAAATTAGCCCAATGTATATTATAATCTCATATTCATACTGTTAATATTCTTTTAGCTATGTGTATATGTTGCATTATCAGATATACACCCCAAATAAATTCTAACTGCAGTCTCTACCATTATAAAATTATGTTCAATTCTATTTTGTAAAAACCTGTAATGTTAAGGGGGTGGTTTCCAGGGTAAACAGTGACTGTTGAAAACTGACGCGATCAGATTTCAGTTCTGGCAATCTGTCCCAGTTATTGCACATGCTCTTCTCCAACAAAGCATTTAAGACTTTCTAATGTCAGAAATGAGACCGCCTCAGAGCAGTCTGTTTACATCTTTATTGACAAGCTAAAGCCCTACTTTTTTCCTGGAGCTGTGCCCCTGCAGACATGTCTTCAGCCTTGCCTGTTTCAACATGATATATCACCCATCTAAAATAAATTTAGAATGTCCCCATCTGTGGTGAATACCTTTTGTTTGGAAGCTTATGTACAGAATCTCATTTCTGTTGCCTCCAAACAAGAATTTGCACAGAATTCGCAATATAAGTTCATATGTGAAAGTAAGCTGTTAAAATAATGGGAAGAAGGAAATCTTGCTCATTCTTCAATACCTATATGAACAGAATTAGGTGTTTCTTTTTCCATACCAAAACAGATACAGTGGGCCAAATACAGCCCTAGAAAAAGAAAGAGCCTGTATATATATATATATATATATGTGTGTGTGTGTATGTACATATGTATATATGTATATGTATGTATGATGAGGTTGCTACTCCAGAACAATATCTTACATATGTTCAGAACAGCATCTTTCATTCCATAGGATCCCAATGCACTTTCAAATTGATTATTATTTATTTGTATTGTAATAGCACTTGGGGGTCCCAATCATGGATCAGACCCCTGTTGCGCTAGGTGCTGTACAAACACAGAACAAAAGGATGGCCCCTTTCCTAGAGAGTTTACAATCTAAGTATAATACAAGGCACAACAGGTGAACACAGCCAACTGGGAGGAAATGGTAACAAAGGCAAACTTGCCCTAATCCCTGGGCTATAGGGTAGGCTGGATGGGTGTAAAAAAAAGTGACGCTCTAGACCGGTAATAGGGCCCTCAATTGGGAGGACTGAGACCCAAGTTTATGGCCCTGTTCCAATGACTCTTGAACAATATCCCTGACATGTGCATATGCATGATGGTTTTCAAAAGTCTGAGGTAGGTATGTACAAAAGACGTGCACACTTTTGAAAATTTGGGTGTAAGTTAGTTTGCTGGCAGCACTGTGATCTCATGAATGAATCTGGAAATCTTAAAATTCAGATTCAGGTCTTCTGACACTGACCTGCTCTGTAAGTCTGGGAAATGCATTTAACCTATTTGTGCCTTCAATTCTCCATCTCTAAAATGCAGATAATAGTACTAGCCTACCTTTCCCATAGGGCTCTTGCAAGAATTGAGTAGGCTAGTGTCTGTGCAGATGTCTGAAAATATAAAAGGGCTATGTAAGTATTATTATTAGGAGCACAGAGGAGTAGAAAGCAGCACTGTGAAAGAATAGTAAATGTCTCTCCTCGTCTCCAGATCTACTTTCTTCCATAGACCCTGGAGCAGAATTGGAAGTTTTCAGGGTATATAAACTGAGAAGGGGTAAAAGGGATTGAGATGTTTGAGAGATTTTTCTGCCACTAATGAAGCAAAATAAAAAGGAAATGAGAGCAAAGCAGACAGGAGTACAGATGCTTTTATGCTTATTCAGAGGTCTGTCTGTGTTTGCAGAGAGTCTGAAACAATCTCTGAGGTTTGAATTACCTTCTTTGTTTCTATGGGCACTGCCTTAGAAGCTAATGATGATCCTAAAATGTACAATATATTAAAATATTTCTCTGCTCATCAACCATCTAAAAAGAAGAAATATTTTTTAAAGCGTTTGTCTCCCTAAAACTACTGAGTTATAACTAAGCAGGGTTGGTTCTGCCATTCAGCTTGATTTGTTACTGATGAATCTTGGCTTGTTTTCTTCTTCGAAGAGTGATAGAAAATGGCAAAGAAAAATGATGTAAAATTCCCCAGAATGCACAAATACCCCTCAAACCAGGCCCAGAAGCTTGGTTGACTGACTTTGGGGGGGAGGGGGAGAATGTGTTCTCCTTCTCCTCAGTGATTGCTCCCTTGGCTCCTCTCTGTACCCCTGCCTCCAGTTACTCTTCCTCAGAAATCTCCTGCTGACCACACCTGAGAAATTAATGCAAGGAACAGAGTTGTTAGCAGGGGCTGGGAAGGGATTCGCAGCATCCCAGAGAGGCACTACTATCCTTGGAGTACAGCAGTGGTATTGCTGCCTGCCTGCTACATAGCTGCCAACCATCTCAACACAATGGTGAGAGAGCAGTTTTTTAAAACCTAGGCTACCCCACCAGATATGAACTCTTGACATCTACAAGTGTGATCTCCCTGTGGGCTAAATTATGGCATTGCCATGAACCGAAAGCAGGGAGCGGCACGTTGTCCTGCTGCTCCTGGCGCGCACTGGACAGACAGCATACATCCCCTGGAACACCAGCACAGTAAATCATCAAAGACCAACTTGAAGATTGTTCACTAATGAGGGGAAAATAGTAAATATCAAATAATGAGCTCCATATCAGTACTCCTGGAGAAATTCTGCGCCAAAAAAATTAAAAATTCTGTGCACAATATTTTT